TATATAGAACAAAAGTCAAGTACAAAGTTGGGCCTTTAAAGTCAGGGAGGGGAGAAGTGATAAATGGCAGTGAAGAAATAAGCAAAGCATTGAACAGCTACTTCTTATCAGTTTCACAGAAGAAATTCGCAAGGAATTTCCAGAGGTGGAACTGATATTTAGTGGAAAGGAAGAAGAGAAATTAAAGAATATCGCTATCAGAAAAGAGGATGTTCTTAGGAGGATAAATAAACTAAAGAAGACAAAATCCCCAGGGCGGGATGAAATTTTCCCTCGAGTCTTGAAAGAGTGTAGGGAACAGATTAGCGGATCCCTCATAAATTGATTTACAAAATCATTAGACACCGGAGTTGTGCCAAACTTGTGGAAACAGGCAAATGTGGTACCCATATTCAAAAAGGGAGACAGAGCATCAACGTCAAATTACCGGCCGATCAGTTTAACGTCAGTAGTGGGGAAATTTCTTGAATCAATTATAGCAGATAGCATCCGATCGCATTTAGAGAAAAGCAAATTAATCTACGACTCTCAACATGGGTTTATAAAGAGAAAATCTTGTCTAACAAATATGCTGACGTTTTTAGGAAAGCCAGTGTACCATTACCACCATCACCACCTGTGTACCATCATCACCGCCAGTGTACCATCAACACTATAATCACCATCAGTCAGTGTACCATTACCACAATCACCACCGCCAGTGTACCTTCACCACTATAATCACCATCACCGTCAGTGTACCATTACCACAATCACCACCGCCAGTGTACCTTCACCACCATCACCACCTGTGTACCATCATCACCGCCAGTGTACCATCACCCCTATAATCACCATCACCGCCAGTGTACCATTACCACTATCACCACCGCCAGTGTACCTTTACCACCTGTGAACCATCATCACCGCCAGTGTACCATCACCACCTGTGAACCATCATCAGTATCACCACCTGTATACCATCACCACTATTATCATCATCATCACCGCCAGTGTACTATCACCACTATCAACACCAGTGTACCACTACCACTATTATAAAGCTCACGATTTTCACTTTCATCTCCGTTTTAGTAATCCCTGAGAATAAAAATAGCAGAAGAATCTACATTCCTCATCAGTCAGCGAGAATGACAATTCCACATAATAAGCGACTCTGGGTAATAATACACACCTACCACCCGCCAAAATCACTTGAAGAAGAGTCCCATAAGAAATCTAATATGCCTGAAAATATGCCAGCAATATAACGATATATTCTGTCCAATGTCTTTCGTGTATTTTAAATCATACTGTTTTTGTTTTTTCTGAAACTTCCAACTCTGATTTTAACATAGGCTTTATATTATTAATTATTCATGAAAAGATATGAGCATCAGGGTGATTAAGTTTGTTTAAAGTCGTTTGGGGGCCTGGTCACGGGAGTTGCTTAGCTCGTTTTCCCTCGTCTGGGAGAGTAATACAACTGTTGGGGAAATACTGGTTTGCTTTGTCACAATATTCTCATGGTTCTACATTTTCTCTACTATTTGACCTCTAACGCATTTGACAAAGTCCCACATGCATGGCTAGCCTCTAAGATCCATCACATGACAACACAGGAAAAATATTAAAGTAGACTAACAACTGGCTAGAAGACAGGCAACAAAAGGTGGTCATAAACGGACTATAATAAGAATGGGAAAATGTTCCGTGGGGTACCACAAGGCTCTATCCCTGGACCCACCTGTTTGTGGTCTACATAAACGACACGGATGGAAATATATCGAGCCACATTGTCAAGTTTGTGAACGACACAGATATTTTGGGAAGGTAGCAAGTCAAGACGATGTCGCAATCACGCAAAAAGATCTGCATTACTTGTTGAAATGGTCGCGAGACTGGCAAGTGCCTTTAAAGCATTACAAAATGAAAGAATGCACAACTATGTAAAAAAATTCCTGGATACTGTTGACGAGGAAAAAGATCTAGGTGTTGATAGTCACTGAAGGCAGCTCAGCAAGTGGGAGCAGCAATGCAAAAACAAAAACAAAAAAACTTTGTCTCACATACAGTACGTCCCAGTTTGGATTAATGTATGCAGGCTTAGCATCCCTGAAAATGGTGCAACACAGAGCGACTAAGATGGTACTGGAACTATATCATTTCGATTATCCAAGCATAATGATGACCTTAGGACTAACACCTCTTCAGACATGACACAATAGAGCAGATCTCAAACATTCAGTATCTTGAAAGGGTTGGAAAACGTGAACCCGAGTCAATTTTCGAGATGCCACGCACCATCAACATCCAGGACGAATAAGGAAATCTTTACATACAGGGTGGTAGATCTATGGAACAGAATAGCAGCTCAAGCTGTGGAACTGCGAACAGTATTGGGCTTCAAAATAGCTTTTGGCAAAACTAACAAGAACAAAGTAGAGATGATACACGGGCCACTGCCCCCCCCCCCCCCGACATGGCCGCCTCAAGTTTGGATGGCCATTAGGCTAATAAGAAAAATATTGTTATAGAGATTATGCTTTATTTAATTTTATGTAATAATAATAATAAATTATTATTCTTTTTAAAACTATTTGTTTACAATTATATACCGTTACTGTACATTGACCAAGAATTTTCGCATTCAAGGATTTATTATTATTATTATTATTACAGTATTAACCTAATGGGTTTTTTTATGGGGGGGGTATTTAATTTCAACGATTGTGAAGCAATGATGGGTCTGCCTAGTACCTGTACTTGGATGGGTACCGGCTTGAGAACAAAAGATGCTGTTGGCATAAGGACCTTACTGGAAATAAGCATCTCATAGCTTTGTCGGGTATTTTTGGTCAAATTGACTAAATATTAATTCTTAACTATAAATTTCAGCACCAGTATTTTACACAAGAAAAAGTCAACTCTAATACGACTAAACTCAATAAACAGTAAGACCCCAAAACTACTGCCGCCGAACCGTGAGAATTACTTTACTTAATTTTAAATTATTTTACGGTTATAGCAAAATAAAACTCTACCGATTCTGATATATTATAAAATTAAAACGCGCTTTTAAGATGGTTGTTATGACTAAGGAAGAACTAAATGAGTTATTTAAGTGTCACATTTTTATTTATATTTAAGGCAATGAATTTATGACTATTGATATTTGTGGTTTATTGTGTCTGCAATTTAAATTTATGTATATTAACTTGATTTTTTAGATAAACTTTCAGATTCTGATAATTACTATATAACAAACTGCACTAGCTCAAAGCTTTTTACGAAAGGTAATTAAAGGATTTTAAGACAAATATTTTTTCATTAAAATCACAGGCTAAGATATTAAATATTACAAAAAATGGTTCAAAACCACCTTAACCATTGATTAATTATTTAAGGCAAGGTTGGTGTGTAAAGTAACATCATTTTATCTCACCTACGAGGGTTGTGTCATACTAGCAGCGACATGGACGAGCTGTGGGTGTGAAGCTTGGGAGAGTGTCACTCGAGTATGTCTGGGTGAGAGCGAAAATAAGGGCGGGGGGGAGGTACTCGAGTGGCTGGCAGTGGAGGGAGATGGAAATGTTTGGAGGAGAAGAAGAATGATCGAGGACTAACACTTGGAATAAACTGGAACAGGGGAAAAAGAGGGAGGTACTGTACAAGGACTGGGAAAGAGAGGAACAGGAGAGGTAATGAGGCGGAGGGAGGGAAAGAGAAGTAATGAGAGGGAGAAAACCAGAAAGACAATGAGACAGAAGGAAGGAAAGGCAATGAGAAGTATTGAGAGGGAGGGAAGGAAGGAGGCAATGAGAAGTATTGAGAAGGAGGGAAGGAAGGAGAGGTATTGAGGGAGAGGGAACAACGAGATGTATTGAGGGAGGGAAGGAAGATGTATTGAGAGGGAGGGAAGGAAGGAGAGGTAATGACCGGGAGGGAAGGAAGAAGAGGTAAAAAGAGGGGGAAGGAGAGGTATTGAGAGAAAGGGAAGGAAAGGCATTGAGAAGGAGGAAGGAAAGGTAATGAGTGAAGTAAGGAGAGTTAATAAGAGGGAATGAAGGAAGGAGAGGTAATAAGAGGGAATGAAGGAAGGAGAGGTAATACGAGGGAATGAAGGAAGGAGAGGTAATAAGAGGGAATGAAGGAAGGAGAGGTAATAAGAGGGAATGAAGGAAGGAGAGGTAATAAGAGGGAATGAAGGAAGGAGAGGTAATACGAGGGAGTGAAGGAGGGGTAATGAGATGTGTTTAGCTCAACACCACTGACCGCCATGTCTGGACAAGTCTATTATTTACAAGCCGCCCAGTTGGTGTGGGCGTGGTGACCTTGGTGGATATATGGGAGTCGTAGAGGGTAAGTGGGCGTGAAGCTTACCATGTATTAGTCGACCTCCAAAACCGCCTATCTGGCCTCCAACTGACACATTCTTCACCCAAGCAGAGCAAGATTAGATACTCCTCATCCCGACCGTTAGTCACTAAATACAGTCCAAACACAGAGTTAAGAGACACCCTACAACCCACAGTAGTCTCTCCCATGGTAGCGAAGGAAACACGACCAAGGGATGGAGCTTTATTCCTGACGTTTCATGTTTAACTTCTAGGATTAAATGGGCATATAGTTCACTCTGACGTTTAAGTCGGCAAAATATAGAGATTGCCAAACCAATGGTGGTCAGGTCCGAGTGACAGGTCCACATGACAAAGCTAAATGACAAGTCAACTAGAGAGAACATGACAGGTTTAAATAACAGCACCGTTGATTCCACTAACCTCGACTCTCCGCCTACAGTCTCATGCTAACACGTGAACCACCTGTAATGACCTTCACAAAGTATGCTTCTCACCCCCAAATACCCCCCCCCCCTGTTAGACTTCGCCATCCAGACGTACTGACCAAGGTCGACCTTGGTACTGACGACTCTGGGATCAACTGACTGGACGGACTCGAGAACTCAACCTCTACAACACCAGCTATAAAAGCCGTAGTCAACTTACCTCTCAGCATCATTCGTCCTCCAGCTCTCGTATCGTCAACACACTTGCTCCAGCTATGTTTCTCAAGGTAAGAGCTGAAGGTACTCCAAGGAAGAACCACAATGTGTACGGCAGTGTCTGTGAGGAACTGTGAAGGAATCAGTCAAATAATTTTGACTGTTGGTGGAATGCAAATCTGATACTACAATATTAGAGAATTATCAGAAAGCTTGTAAAAAAATATTATTTTAAACACAGTAGTACTATTACCAATACAAGTGATCAGTAGTGATTATTGTAAACAAGTATTAAAGATAATGCTAAAATAACAGCAGAGGCAAAAAAAAGTATATAATAATAACCTACTTTAATAAAGCGGACCCTACACGGTCAATATTAATGCCAAAAAATTCACATTGCGCAATATTACTGATGATCGTTTAGGGTAAATATTGAAGTATAATGCAATATATTAAAGGAATCAAAATAAGTTTAATTTTTATTGCGCAATACGTGTACCTTTACGTCATCTGAATGTATTATATCCTTAAACAAATTTTCATGGTTATCTTCCTATCTTTTCGTGTTCCATTGTTTCGTCCACCGACGCATTTTTTCTTCTAAATACAAAAAGCTAATGCAATGGCTATACATGCCATATCTGTGTCTGCCATATTGCCTATGTAGGCGTGGGTGTCGTACTGACAGATTTTTGCTCAATAATATTGAACCATGAAGAGGGTCTGCATATTGACCAATAATAATGAGTCAATATATTGTTTCAATAACATTGACCGTGTAGGGGATTAGAAGACTGGCGACACACACTATCCCAATTAAGAGTGTAACTCGTATCAGAGCTCTCTTGGTGGCCACAAACAAAAACTACATGACTTGAATTCTTAACAATTCCTACGTGAAAATTCCACCCTAGCTGGAGTTGAAGGAACACGTCTAAATTTGTCATAGAAAAGAAGCACTATAACGATTTAAAAGCAGTCGATCTCAAACTACAGTACCATTAAAAACGCTGCCATGCTTCGGAGTAAAAATTACCGAGCTACCTCTATGAAAATACGGACTTGGTTCTGATAAGCTTAAGAACTATTACGTTAACCACATCTATAGAGTATTACATATTTACAAATTAAAACCTTCACTTCGGTCCATTGTCCAGTGTTTCTATCTCGTCGGCCTACCATCTCAAATTCATCTCTCGTGAGTCGTTATACCGGGTAGTTGAATATTTCCTATCTTGACATGCATGAAATTTGGACGATTACATTTATTATAAAAGCCATGCATGCAAAATCTATAAAAATGGCTCGTGCAGCACATAGATAAGGTTTTCACTTATACTTGTCGGGGATAAATTCGTGTTATGCTGACACATTACTTATTATGAATAAAGTAATAGTCATTGACTCAGCGTCAGCGTTTCTGAATTCTTTAAAGCAAATTGTATTATATATCCCTGAAAGTATAGATATCAGTTCAAAACTTTTTAATTTTGCAATTTGTTGTGTACCGTACAAAAGTTAAAGTAACGGCGACAATGCTTTTCTTATAAATGTTATGTTACAGTATACATATTCAAACAAAAAAGTAAATATGAATTATAAAGATATTACAGTTGTATTTACCTCACCGAACAGGGGCGGTTCCAGGGGGTCCTGGTGGTCCGGAACCCCATTTTCATCAGAAAATTCCAATACCTTTTCTTTAATGCAATATTGTACTCAGACGTTTTTCTATGGTAAAACGTAGTTACTATTGACCTCAAAATATCTCTTAAAATCAAGTGCACATGGTTTCAAAATGCCCATGATATGGATCAGATTAAAAAAATTACCCTTATTACGTCCCCCCACAAAAAAAAAACAGCTGGGTGGGCTCACTGCTCGCCATGTTCCCCACCCGCAACTTATTGGTTGAACCCCGTCTTTGATATTCCTGCATCCGCCCTTGCCCAACAACAGTACTCACCCTTACGGTTGATCACCTGCCATATCCACCTTTTGCCCCCTGAAAAACGTGAAATTTTTTCTCGTATTTTATTTTTGTGTATTTATATACCTCAATGGTATTTTCTTTTGGGAGAGAAAGAAATTTCCCATGCACAATTATGCGTTCGACAGAAACTTAACAAATACTCTTGATGATAGGACCGAACATTTGGACCGCCCATCAATTAATTATGCACAGGGCCTTCTGCCTTGATCTTAGAAACTCGTTATACAAATTCTTGAACCTTCAATGTCATGACGAACACATCAAAATAACATACGCAGTTAACGAAGCAGTTTTACACAAAGTAAAAATATAAAATTGTATACTGAGAGTATTGTAGTGGCGCAAGTGGCCGAAACAACACCAGCTCTGCACATTTTAATATCTGTGAGCTTGATGAAAGACTCGGCAGGTGATATGTGGATAAACTGAACAAACTAATAATAAATGGAAAAATTTGCTGTAAAATTATCGTTTCGGTCATCCCTACGTTTTTCCGACGGGTTTTGAATCATTTCATCTCACCTAACCTATACCCTAAACAACCTAACCTAGCCACAGAACCCAGGAACTATATCTAACAACCTAACCTGCCAAGATTCTCCGGATGACCGAAACAATAATATAAATTTAGCTATACAAGTGCGGGTTTTGAAATATAACAGCTACCTTACGTCAAATTTACACTCCATTAGCTGTTACAAACCAACAAATTCTTTCAATTTACAGCCTTCGGAGAATTCCAAGCATCTCCAGGCGATAGCATAATATAAATTTATAGATCAAGAACACATTAATACATATTTAATAAAATATAATTGTGAGATTCTTACACCAACTTAACTATATCCTATCTACCAAAATGGCTCGTATCTATAGCAAGGTGTGATGTGAATTCAAAACTCATGCGGGGGATTGACAATAGTCGCAATGTTGAGACGAGTGATATTTCCAAATTATATATAGTTACCGGTACCGTACAGACATAAGTGAAACCAAGCATCAAAAACCTATTAAGATAAAAATGAAGCAGAAACTATTGCTCACTGCGTCAGAAACTCACGCAAGAAGGTAATGGTAAAGCCGACGATTGAGTGAATTAAAATACTGTACTAGATACCAGTGGCAGAATACAGCATTAAGCCGTGTTATCACTACATATAGCTAAATTTTAAGCATTTCACTTGTTTAATACACCTGTGTTTTCAGTATATTTTAAAGGTATAGTTAACTGAAGTGTAAGTGTTTTACGGGTACATTGCCTAAGAGTTGATATACAGTATTCCTTGGGTACACTAACATTGGCGTGTGTTGGATGTTGCCGAGTCATGTGCCGAAGAATCACCATGATGGCTTCATCTCAGTTGCAGTCATCACTAGTCAAGGTCAAAACTGGAGGATTATGTCACACATTCAGGACTTCCCTGAGTGAAAGCAACATTCAACTCACTCAACCACGGTAGTCCTAGTTACGCTACACGATCACTAATCATCATGACGTGTCCTACGTGCATGATTACCCTCATTTAACCCATAATAAAGGTGGACGATTATAGGAGAATTTCACTTGTTGCCACCGTTTTTGAGGTGCTATGGACAAATTTGACCTTCATTGCTGGTGCAAATCAAGTTTCTGAGATTAGCTCCCCCGCACCCCCTTCCCTTCCATCTCAGAATTTAGAGATTTGCTATAAAAGTCCAGGTAAAAAGTGTTCAAACACATCAAAAGCCATCGGAAAAACAAAACCCTAACCAACCTAACTTAACCTAACTGCGAAGCCCCACAGTCGTTAGATGTTCTGGGTGTGTACTGCCACGTACGAACATACATAATAAAATGTTAAGTATCTCGCTAACGTAATTTGCGCCAGAAATGCCGCTGAAGTGTCAATTGACAAAATTACTGATTGCGCAACTATAAAATTCCCGAGATTCGTTTCGTAGCAACGAGTGAAATAATAGCCATTATAAAGTCGTTAAGGAAAATTGTCCATTACGAAAATGTGAACAAAAACGGCGGCTTGAGAGGCAACATGGAATGGGTCCTGATTTCAATTATGGCTAGGATTCATATGCAGCCGAAATTGAGCTTAAACTTTAAAGACCTAATTTCAATTGGTAACAATATCGCAGACAGCAGTGGACATTTTACCGTGACGGGATCAATTCCCACTAATGCTATTTTACCATGAGCGCACTCACAGTAAAATAGCGTTAGTGAAACTAGCCCATAGTTTCACCTGCCCGGGGATCGAAACTGTGACAACTGACTTGCGAGGCGAGCATGCTGGCCATTACACCACAGCTCATATTGCTAATTAATTTACCTAAACGCGAAAGCTACAACCTATTTGCCGCTTCTTAAGTAATTCGGTCAATTTATAATAGTGCACCGTTCTATCTCTCGGTTAGAAATGTTTTTCGGAATGTTTAGACAATTTTAAGACATTTTTCTTCTATGATATTTCTAGTATCGAAAGAAATACAAACCTAACTTAACCAACCCCCCCCCCTTTCTGTGTATAAAAAAAATTACACAAAACCAACCAAACCTAACCTAACCTATCCTATCCTTAATTTCCAATGAAAATATCATAGAAGAAATGTCTTAGAATTGTCTAAACATTCGGAAAAAACATATTTCTAACACCAAGAGATAGAATGGTGCACTAATATAAAAAGACCGTAAATTCAATGTCGTTTTTCGTAGTTTCGACACCGGACCCATTAACATAATTACACTCTAGTCTCTAGGTTAATACTTTACTGTTCTTGTGCGCCAGTTCTTAATGTCTGACTTTTACAAACTTGGACCTGCAGAGATATCAGGTCAACTGAAACATTTTCTAGCTGCACCTCAAAGCACTAAGTTGGCCTTTAAAACAGAAAACGGTATGTTGGTAAACAGTTTCTCCAGGTCTGAATCAATCAAGAGAATTTTATGTAGCACTGATATGTCTGAACAAGATACCGAGTGTACAGTAGTTAGGTTATTAGAAACATAATCACTAAAATCCATGAATGAATTACCTTTACAGTGAGGTAATAATACAGTTTACAGCAACCACAGAATTCCGGAAATTCACTACACTCAATCGATGCAACTATTTTTGATCTATGGTCATTTTCTTATATTACACTTCCGTCGCAAATTGACAATAAAAAAGTTATTTAATTTTAAAATTAATAAAATCAGAGCACCTGTTGCCCCTACACGGTTGCTCAAATTGTGTGTTCGTACATTCGCTTACCTCACTACGCTGGACTGGCCATGTTACCCGCTTGGGCGACAGTAGACTGCCAAAGCAGTTACTTTACAGTCGGCTAACGAATAGTAAACAATGTTGGCGAGCAACTGAAGAGGTATAAGGATAGTCTTAGGACAAACCTGAAAAGTGCCAAATCGACCCCCTTCACACGGAAGACGATTACTCAACACCGTAACGCTTGTAGGAGCACTATTCAAGGGGTCCGACTAATTACCCAAATGTAGCCCGCAATGAAGTCAAATAATGGTCCTACATGAATAAATCGGGTTACCAATCACTTCTCGACTAGTATTTGGTGTCACATAGTAAAAAAAAAATTGGAAAACGTAATTTGAGTTACTACAGTAGATCGCGTGCATGTACCGAGGGAGCGAGTAATTACCCAAATGTACCCAAATGTAGCCGCACTGAAGTCAAATAATGGTCCTACATGAATAAATCGGACTGCCAATCACTTCTCGACTGGTATTTGGTGTCACGAAGTCACAAAAAATTGGTAAACTTAATTTAATCTGAGTTAATAGATCAAGTGCATGTACCTAACCTAACCTAACACAACACAACTCAGATTAAATTAAGTTTACCAATTTTTTGTGACTTTATGACACCAAATAATAATCGAGAAGTGATTCACAGCCCGATTTACGCTTGTACGACCATCATTTGACTTCATTGCGGCTACATTTGGCTACATTTGGGTAATTACTCGCTCCCTCGGTACATGCACGCGATCTATTAACTCAGATTAAAGTAAGTTTTCCAATTTTTTGTGACTTTGTGACACCAAATACTAGTCGAGAAGTGATTAGCAGTACGATTTATTCATGTAGGACCATTATTTGACTTCATTGCGGCTACATTTTGCTACATTGGGTAATTAGTCGGACCGCTATAACAAGGTGTCAATACTTTGAGTTAGCCCGACTGCATAACGAGGCAGACAAGCGCCAACGCTGGAAAGACGCTGCCACTGCCCCTCCTGCACTATAATTGTGCGAGTTTTTTTTTTCTTAGTCAATGAACAATGCGTGGGTGCGTCGGGAATGGAGATTTTATTTTTCAGTACCAGAATAACCAGATATGGCTGAACAGGTGGGAAGAGCTGTGCCGACATTGTGATAGAGATTATTTTACGTCAGTTGCAGAGTTTCATCAGAAAAATAGTGATAGGTCAGGTTAGGTTTTGTTGGTTGGTATTTTATTTGTGATTTACTCGATAAAAGAAATCGTTAAGATTGATGGGTAGGGGAGTTCTCAAATTTATTGATTTCCAACTGAAATGAATATCAAATTCGTTCGAAACTCGTCGAATAACATCGGAAAAAGTTTTAATATCCAAATAAAGACTGGTGCATAAGTGAAATTTGAACACGAGACATTTTTAATCAGTTGCAACATGGAGCCATAACGTGCTTTGTGCGATTTCGATTATTGGAAGTTTATCGTATTATTTCATTCTAAAAATAAGGAAACTTTAGAGAACAGAGGAACCCACGACGCATTCTGGTCCCTGACTCAGACTCTGACCCTAACTTGGAGTAAGGTAAGAAATACTGTAACGGCTATTTATATTCTCGTGGAGGCTGACCACGCGACTCGAGGGTTATTACATAGCGTTTGGGGATCCGGGAGGCGAAGTCCCCGGCTAGGGTCACTGGGGGATAAGGTAAGGTTTAGTATAGTTTGGTTATATGGTACAAGTTAGCAAGCACAGAGTACCGGGAATTCAGAACATGCAATCGATAGAACTATTATAAGGGGGGAGGGGGTTAAATCACAAACGAGTGATTTCTGAAGATCGTTACGACCTTCTTATAAGACCCAATAATTTATTTGCCTGATTTACCTTCTTCTCACAATGGCCCGAGAACTTCAGCTCATTGTCAACATACACACCTAGGTCCTTCTCACATTCAGTCTCAAATAGTGCAGTTTCTTCATCCCGTTGGGACATATGATACGCCTCCTTACCGTTGGTACGCCGCAGGTGCATCCTCTTACACTGCGTGACACTGAATCTCGGCAGCCATTTCTTCGACCATTCTTGGAGCCCACAGAGGTCCTTCTGCAGCTCTTCACAGTCAGCTTGGTTCTTAATTTCCCAAAATAACTTAGCGTCATCGGCAAACATTTGTATGGAGGTGTGTACATCGTCAGGCATGTCATTTATGAAACAAACAAACAAGAGCGGGTCCAATACATTGCCCTGTGGTACCCCACTTGTGACAGGTATGGATGACGATTTCGTGCCATTAATCACCACACACTGCTTGTGGTCATGTAGAAAGTCTTCTATCCATGCTACGACATTTCCCCGAATTCCACCCTTCCAGTTTGATTTTCAGCCTTTCATGGGGTACGCTGTCGAAAGCCTTGGCAAAATCTAGGTAAATATTGTCGATATTACCACCCCGTTCCAGAATATGGGTCCAAATATCCAATACCTTGAGCAATTGTGTTAAGCAGGAGCGCCCCGGCATAAAACCGTGTTGGCAATCTTTTACAAGGTTGTTTCGTAATAGATGTTCCATTGCGGCATCTCTGATAATACTCTCAAGTACTTTACATATTATGCTGGTCAGGCGGCACACTTGCTTCCACTACCCTCCCCTGAATATAACCCGTTCCTCTTTGACTCCTCCCTCTTCTGCTTCAAGGCCTGCAGGAGCTTCTTGTGCTGTTCCCTCTGCATTACCGTGCGATCTGGGTGAATGAATACACCCCGAGATGTCTCGCTCCTTGCTAACTTTTTTGCCTGCCGAATAACCCTCCATTTCTCCTCCTCGCTCACTAGTGTGGTCCTGAGGGGGCGAGGCTTATCCCCTTGCTCTTGTCCCAGCCTCCTCACATCCTGAGGGGTTGATGGCATCTTCAGAACCTCTGTACAAATATTCTGAAACTGCATCTTGTCGTGTGTTACCTTGCTCTCAGTTCCCTCCGCCTGGCTCTCGAGGACTCCAAAAACTATTACATTGTTCCTGCGCTGGAAACGTTCCCGTTGTTCCTCCTCTCCCCTAACAATAGGTCCGTTAATTTTTATTTCTTCGACACACTTCTTCAGAGTCCCTTTTCTGCTGTAGAACCTGTTCTGATCCTGCATTATTCTCCGCCACCCCCCGTGGCCCTGCGAATGCCTCAGCATAACTCCTCTTGGAAACCACCTCCATTCTATCAGCTACTTCCACAGTCTTAGCAAGGACCTCTTTCCCAGCTTGCTCTAGTTTGGCAACCAGCAGGGCTCCAGCTTCATCCATTTTCGTCCCTAGGGAACTCGTTCTCTTATGGCTTGCAATCGCCTCTTTCACCTTGACTATGCAGTCAGGGCAACAGCCTTCATGCTTTACAGCAGTTAGCATCTTCCTAAACTTTGCATTGGCCAGGCCTGTATCATCCATATCCGTCATACCCTTGCAGTAGTCACATATCATCATATCCCTCATGCTTGTTGTTGTTGTGGGGGTAGGGGGTGGGGGGAGGCTCCGGCGTTCAGTGCGAGCATAGGTCGTCGCCCCCTCATAAGTGCCCGCGAGGATGGCTATGCTTTCAGTGTCAGTGGAGGAGGCTGTGACCGATAGCGTGTAGAGAAACAAAGGAGAATGACCTTTGGCTTGTACTCACAGGTGTTGGTGGGCGTGGCAGCGGTGGTGATGTGTGTGGTGGCTGATGGCGTGGGCTACGATGGTGGACATGTGCACTATGTGAGTACATACTTTCGAGGATTGTAATTTTCCTCTCTTCTCACTTCGTCCTTAACTTCATTGTTACTCTCAATTATTTTTCATGTTTTTTTCTTGAAACTCCATGTTTATTTGTATTATTTTTCCACCCTTTCTTTGTTTCTTGGTTACTCATTTTTTTTTTTGCACCAAGTTTAGCTCTGTCATGTAACACTATAAATATCAATACGTATGAACAAATTTATCGACTCAGCTGTTACCCGGCCCTCTCTACTTTAGTTCCTCTTCCTACCTCCTCTCCTAAATCTCTTCTTTGACACCTCTTTTTCCTCTACACCTTTTAGATATTTTTACATACTCCTTTCCTCTCAATTATTCCTTTATTAACCCTTACTCTTCTTTCACCCACTCTTCTCTCTCACACCCCTCTCCCTTTCAGCCTCAATGCCTCACTCTTTCCTCCCATTTGTTGTTTGTTTGGGGATTTCCGGCCACTTCACCTTTCGGCTATTATCATTTACTCCCCAGTTTTCTTCATATCCGTCTTTCTACGATCAAGCCCTCTTTCACCCACTTTCTCCCAAACACCCACTTCTTTATATTCCTCCCTCTTACAGGCACCCATTCCCTACGACTTCGGCTACGGCGTGGCCGACCAGTACACTGGCACAGACTTCGGCCATACAGAGCACTCAGACGGGAACGTGGTGAAAGGGCGCTATTACGTGCGCCTTCCTGACGGTCGTAAACAGATTGTCACGTACACCGCTGATCACCACAATGGATACCAGGCCCAGGTCAGTACAGGTCTTGGTTAACAGCTCTACAGTGGTACAGTCTCACCCAAAAGTTCGTTAGCTCTCCCAGCCAGCTATTGCTGCACTGCCTGCTTCAGATGTATGAACTTGAATCTGTTACATCGAACCTTTAGATTTATTCGTATCGGTTTCATGTTCTGGTTGGTACTGAGACAGTTTCAAACATCCGAAGCAGGCAGTGCAGCAATAGCTGGCTGGGAGAGCTAACGAACTTTTGGGTGAGACTGTACCAGCCTACCAGGACCAAGTCAGAACAGGTCATGGCTTGCAGCTCCACACCAGTACATGGCCAGCACAGGTCACCATTTACACCACCACAACTACTATCAGGGCCAAGCCAATATGTCAGGGATAATCTGAAGTGTGAAATCAATAGGGAAATAAAAACTAAACTGAGTACATCAACAATTTGGATAGAATTAACCGATGGTAGGGAAAACGGTAAAGGTTTACAAAACCGTTATCACAAGAAGGAAATATGCGATTTGGTTTAAATTTTTTGTACACACTATTAGCGTAATACTAAACACAGAAATTGAAACGACAATACATAGAACCTAAGAGAACCTGACCTAACATACCCAAAGGTTGGGTATGTTAGGTTGGGTTTTATTAGGTTCTATGTGTTATCGTGTTAATTTATGTGTTAAACAACTAACCTTAATATTTATGTTGATATACATCAGCAATGGCGAGGAGGAATTCATGGAAGCGTTCACCATCATTTAGGAAACGTCTCTTGAAGAGGGATTCAGCGAGGTAAACAAAAAAAATGGCGCCGGGAGGAGAATTGTGAAGCGGGATAGAGTATAAAAAAAAGTACTTAAAATTATACTTGAAAATTGTCGTTTCTTTTTTTTTTTACTTAGAATCATCAAAACAATAAGTATAGCAAAAATAAAAAAAATCAACGAACAACTTCTAGCGATAACGGTTTCGTAAACATTTTTCCAGGAAAAAATTTATTATAGGAGTAAATCTCGATAGACTTATTGTAATGAGCAACTTATTTGGGATGAAATGCTCAGGGTATGCAGACATAGCAAAGTCTGTATAGTAGGTGACTTTAACATTAGTCAAATAGACTGGACCAACCTTAAGGGTAACTCAGAATCAGGATTTTCTTGAAACAGTTCAGGAGTCTCTAACTACCATCCAATCATTTTTTTATGGGGATTAGCCCACATCAATCGTAGGCAAATTGCTGGAAGTAATACTCGAAATCGCCTGGAGTAGCACAAGTTGATCAATGACTCTCAACATGGCTTCATAAGTGGACGTTCATATCTGACAAATCTATTAACATTCTTTTCAACTGTTTTCAAATCAGTGGATGACGGACACGATTACGATGTGGTATACCTCGACTTTAACAAAGCCTTCGACTGAGTCCCCTATGAAAAGTGGCATTTCATGGAATTGGAGGAGATATTCTAAAATGGATTAGGGGATGGTTACAAGACAGGAAACAGCGAGTGAGCATTAATGGCACTAAATCCGATTGAGGTAGCATCACTAGTGGGGTACCCCAAGGGTCAGTACTTGGACCATTACTATTTATTATAGACATAAATGACATATAGGCATAGACAGAAACATAAGTAAATTTGCTGACAACACTAAAATAGGGCGTGTAATTAAATCTGACGAGGACTCCGCAAAAGTACAGGAAGATCTAAACAAATAAACAAATTTTCACATGGTCTGAAAAATGGCTGATGAAATTTAATGTGGACAAATGTAAAGTACTTAGTCGAGGAGACGTAAACAGAGAAACCAGATATCAGATGAACAATGTTGTTATAGAGAAATCTGACTGAGAAAGACTTAGGAGTATAATGATAAGTAGGAATCTTAAACCAAGACAACAATGTGTATTTGCTCCAAACAAGACCAACAAAGTACTTTGGTTCATACAAAGGCGTGTTAGTTACAAGACTAGCGAGATTATCCTAAAACTATATCTTGCGCTTGTTGGCCCTCATTTGGATTATGCGGTTCAGTTCTGGTCACCGGACTACAGAATGGATAAAGAATCCTTAGAAAGAATTCAGAGGAGAATGACCAGACTAATCCCGGGCACGAGGAACCTTGAGTTCAGAGACAGGTTAAAGCATCTTAATTTGCACTCCCTCAAGAGACATAGAGTGGGGGTCAATATGATCAAGATGTATAAGTGGAAGTCAGGGTTAAACAAAGGGCGATCGTCACTCCACGAACAACTATAGACCGGTGAGCCTGACCAACATAATATGTAAAGTACTTGAGAGTATTATCAGAGATGCCGCAATAGAACATCTACTACGAAGCAACCTTGTAATGGATTGCCAACACTGTTTTATGCCGAGGTGCTCCTGCTTAGCACAATTGTTCAAGGTATTGGATATTTGGACCCATATTCTGGAACGGGGTGGTAATATTGACAACATTTACCTATATTTTGCCAAGGCTTTCGACAGTGTACTACACGAAATGTCCTAGCGTGGATAGAAGACTTTCTACATGACCGCAAGCAGTGTGTGGTGATTAAAGGCACGAAATCATCATCATCCGTACCTGTCACAAGCAGGGTATCACAGGGCAGTGTATAGGGCCCGCTGTTGTTTGTTTGTTTCATAAATGACATGCCTGGCGTTGTACACTCCTCCATACAAATGTTTGCCGATGACGCCAAGTTATTTTGGGAAACCAAGAACCAAGCTGACTGTGAAGAGCTGCAGAAGGACCTCTGTGGGCTCCAAGAATGGTCGAAGAAATGGCTGCCGAGATTCAATGTCACGCAGTGTAAGAGGATGCACCTGGGGTGTACCAATGGTAAGGAGGCATATCATATGTCCCAACAGGATGAAGAAACTGCACTATTTGAGACTGAATGTGAGAAGGACCTAGGTGTGTATGTTGACAATGAGCTGAAGTTCTCGGGCCATTGCGAGAAGAAGGTAAATCAGGCAAATAAATTATTGGGTCTTATAAGAAGGTCGTTCAGATATCTAGACGGTCCGTCCCTCGTAATGATCTTCAAGAGTGAAGTGCTTCCCCATCTGGAGTACTGTCACCCCGTCTGGTCCCCGAGATATGCTAGGGACTGTCAGTTGCTTGAAAATATTCAAAGGACGGCCACCAGACTGGTGCCTGTCCTTTGGCACCTCAGCTACCCTGAGAGATTGGAGCGCCTGAACTTGCCTAGCTTATACTACAGACGGGCAAGGGGAGACCTAATTGAGGTGTATAAGCATCTCAAGGGGCACTACTCATTCGAGTGTCCTTACTTGGAGCTGGCGGACGCTCGCCCCACAAGGGGTCACAGCTCAAGATTGAAGAAGCCGCAAGTCCAGAAAACTGTGAAGGCAAACTTTTTCGGAGTGAGAGTTGTGAACTCTTGGAACAATCTACCAGAAAGTGTTGTGACGGCACCGAGTGTGAGCTCTTTCAAGACCAGACTTGACCAACACTGGAGCAGGTTCAGGTACATTCAGGAGCCGGTGCGTGCTCAGTACTTGCCAACAGTGCGTAACAGAGACGTGACCGATCGCCCAAGCGGCTAACGAGTCGATCATCTGGTGAAGAGGATAAAAGAAAAAGAAAAGTAACAGACGTGACCGATTGCCCAAGCGGCTAACGAGCCGATCAGTGGTGAAGAGGATAAAAGTAAGTAAAAGATATCACAAAGGTACTTAAACTATCCAACCAGGAGCGAACTCGTAGCAATGGTTTTAAATCAGACAAATTTAGATTTAGGCAACATTGGTTTGGAAATAAAGTAGTGGATGAGTGGAACAAGTTACCAAACATCTTAATTTACTTGAATATGTTGGATAGCTTCAAATATAGGTTGGATGGATATATGAGCAATAGGGGTTGGGTGTAAATGGGACTGCCCAGGTATGGACCAATATTCCCACTGCAGTTTCCTCCATCCTTATGTTCTTATATAATACAAGCTGCAGCCTACACCACCACCAAAGGTACTGTACTAGGGTCAGGTCAGTACAGGTCATTTCTTACATCACCACAACATATACGAGTCCTAAGTCACTGCAAGTCATAAAGTAGCTCAGCTTAGTAGGTTATACTGTATAGTAAGTAGTTCAAGGAACATAATGGTAATGTCACTCATACAATTTGTGAAAGAAATACCTATGTTTTATTTTCATGTAAGCATATCTGGATTTTCTTTTCAATACATGCAATGAAGGTATTATTACTATACAGGGTATTATTATCATTAGTCATGGTATTAGTACTGTACAGAGTAGTAGTGATATCTCTGTTAGCCGGAACAATTGGTGCAGAGCACTTCCAGGAATGAGAGATTTCTGAGTAACGAGGCAACTCTCTCAAAGCCGGAAGAAATCCTTCATCCCCTAAATTTTACTGGTAACAGAAAAATTTTCTCAGAAGTTCCAGAAGGATGCATTATTTCATCTCTCAAAGCCGGAAAAAGAATCCCTAATCCCCAGAATTTTCCAGGTAACAGAAATATATTCTCAGAAGTTCCAGAAATTGCTCATTAGATCATCTCTCGAACCTGGAAAAATATCCCCCATCCCCGGAATTTCCTGGGTACTGGGAAAATGTTCTCAGAATTTTCCAGAAAATGTGCCCAGTACTTGCCAACAGTGCATAACAGAGACATGACCGATTGCCCAAGCAGCTAATGAGCCGATCAGTGGTGAAGAGGATAAACGTAAAAAGTAAAAAAAAGAAAGCTGGAATTTTCAAAAAAATTACAGCATTGGGAACAATTTTCCGAGAAAATTCTAATTCCGGGTTTGAGGGATTCCGGCTAACAGAGATATTACTGCAGTAGAGTAGTAGTAGTAGTAGTACAGGTAGTAGTATTGCCATTCTTATCTCATATTTTGTAAAAGCTATGAGAACTGAATTTTCACATGCATTGCTACAGTATTTACATTCAAATTCCAAACATTGAAATAACCTCCATAGATGTTTGCACACTACAGTATTGCATAATAATGGTCTTAATATTATTTGTGGTTTTGATATTCTCTTCATTATGTAGAGCTACACTGTTATTTTGCAAAATGTTTTTGTTCTATAATACAGTAAACCCTTTTATTCCTCACAGGTGTCATACGAGGGACATGCCCTCCACCACGTTGCTGCTCCCGTTTATGGCTAACTTGAAACATTACCAAGGAATAACTCATCTTCATTCATATTATGACTGATCTAATCTACAGTATATGCAATCATTCAGGGTTAAAATCTTGCCTATTTCTAGCCATGATCCGAGTCTTTTTGCTTGTGTTCGTGTACAACTGTCTTCAGTTGATTATATCCATTTGGATATATCTTCATCAGTCTATGACAAGATTTAACCCTCACCATGTTTCCACTTATTTAAATCCACCCGTTCTTGCTTATATTGTACGATACTGTATACTATATCTGAATTTAAATTAATTTATAGTAGTACTATATACCATTATCATCTGTCTCTGACTACATCAATTTACAATACAGTACTGTACTGTACGTGCATATTTTTAATCCTTATTTTGGATCCTCCTGTGGCCTTTACCTGGCAGTTTGGTGTTCATGACTGTCAACAGCGATAAGGTTGATGATGTCTCTAGTCTTTGATTGTCCAACAGACTTCATTCCTGTGTTTACACAATGGCTTCTTAGCTGCAGGTTTTCTTACCAATAAAGTAGCAGAAACACTTGGTATGTTGTGACATTTTATAATTTTCATTGTCAATCAGGCCTACCTAATTTAATTATGACCCTTTAATTGCCCTTTATTTCTTATTTTCATGTTATCTGTACTGTACAGTACTGTACTATACAGTATAGAACATGACCATATCTATTGCTAAATTGTTGCCTATTACCCTGTATTCAACTTTTGATTCATAGCAATACTATTTATATTCATACATCCTGTCATTTACAAGCTTTGATCAAGTGTGATATTACTGACTAATATTTGTTCAACACTGAATGTGCATTGATAATGCATAGCCTGTTTATGGTGCAGTACGTATATATGAATCAGAATGATACCGATGAGACCATAATTTATCCTCTAATATAACTTATATTAAGGAATGCCAGTCCATGGTGTACTGCTTTCACAGGTTTGCAGTAAATATGGTTTAAACCAGAATGCTTCGATCTGCATGCCCCACCAACCCTATCCCTCTCCTCCAACACTCCACCCTCTAAAGGTTACTTTCATGATCCTGGTTATAATTACAGTACGTGTAATTATCTGCTTTTTTTATTTTTTTGCAGTGCAGTATTGCTCATACCACAATGAGCGACATAATAATGGTGAAATTAGAATTACTAGTTTGCTCTTTCTTTTAGGTTGGTCCTGAATATACAGGGTGTTCACATGAAACTTTAACAACTTTGAATAAGCATAGCCTCCGAGTGGGATCATATAATTTAGTGCAGATTTTTGCATATTGTTAAGCTATGTAAAAAGTTTATTACATATAATACAGGAGCTACAGTAGATCACTGATGCTGTTGCAACAGTAGATGCAAGCATGCTTGAGCGAACCTGGAGAGAGCTCGAGTATCGCCTTGATATTCTCCGGATGACAAAGGGGGCTCATATCAAACTGGAATAATGATGACAGTACGTGAACATAAACTTTAGGATATGTTCTTTTCAATACAGCAAACTTCATTAAAATATGTGTTGCTGTTCATAGTGATTCAAAGTTGTAAAGGTTTCTTGTGGACACCCTTTACTATCCCAAAACTGGTAAGTTAACAACATCCTGCATTTCATCCTGGGAATAATATCATCCTAAATATCATTCTCATAACCTTAGACTACTGTATCTCCTGTCTTCCTTTTTTTACTTACTTTTAACCTCTTCACCACTGATCGGCTCGTTAGTCGCTTGGGCGATCGGTCACGTCTCTGTTACGCACTGTTGGCAAGTACTGGGCATGCACCGGCTCCTGAATGTACCTGAACCCGCTCCAGTGTTGGTCAAGTCTTGTCTTGAAAGAGCTCACACTCGGTGCCTTCACAACACTTTCTGGTAGATTGTTCCAAGAGTTCACAACTCTCACTCCGAAAAAGTTTGCCCTCATAGTTTTCTGGACTTGCGGCTTCTTCAATCTTGAGCTGTGACCCCTTGTGGGGCGAGCGTCCGCGAGCTCCAAGTAAGGACACTCGATTGAGTAGTGCCCCTTGAGATGCTTATACACCTCAATTAGGTCTCCCCTTGCCCGTCTGTAGTATAAGCTAGGCAAGTTCAGGCGCTCCAATCTCTCAGGGTAGCTGAGGTGCCGAAGGGCAGGCACCAGTCTGGTGGCCCTCCTTTGAACATTTTCAACCAACTGACAGTCCCTAGCATATCTCGGGGACCAGACGGGGTGACAGTACTCGAGATGGGGAAGCACCTGCACAGCTAAATATGTCACCCTAAAACTCGTTACCTACTATGCCTTTCAAACATCCACAGAGATATTGAATCCATGCATCATAAACGACACACATTAGGAAACACAAAGTGTAAATGCACCTATGTGAGAAATTCTGTGAATAAATTGGAAATAATTGTTAAATACAGTACAGTACAGTACTGTATTGTATACTGTACTGTAAATACAGGTATTTTGAAGCCTTTGCAAAAAAATTATGAACTGCCACAAAATCTCGACTTACAGGATCGTTGTCCATATGCTATCAAATATCATACACAGGACAAGCCTCCATGACCCACTGGTTGGGAGCCAGAGCTTTAAACCAACCTCATCTTTCTGATACCCTGGAGCCCAGGCCACCCCATCTTTTACCCTGATGCTTTCAATCATCTCAATACATGTAGTACCTTATATCAGTTCATCTTTCATTCTGATGTTATGGATCAGCCCGCCTCTCTTGAAACCATAGACCATCCTATCTATTATGATGATTCTGTAATCTAGAAGCCTACCTTTCATCTTAATACCGAGACCCTTATGCGCACCACACTCACATCCCTCTAGCCCTGAATCTGCTGCCTCCAGTTACCTATATGGCATCCTATCACTTAAACTAATGCCTTTAGACCAGCCTTGCTCCTATTGTATATGTGAAAAAAGTCATTCATATTGATCCAAATCCTGGCCATCCCTTCCACCTTGTTGATAACCTATGATTATTGTATTTTCCTTACTGATAACACTAGACCATCCTCACCCTCATACCGATACACCAAACCATTAATAGATCATTCAGTTTTCTCATTTAATTTTTAGAATATTTTTCTGCCTTTCTATAGCTTGTAGTCTGTAAACAAAGTGAAGCATGGCCTTCACTTTGTCGTTTATATTCTTTGATCATACAGTTTTAAAATACCTAGAATTTTATGTCATCTACATCAATATTAGTAGATGTTTAACCATTTTCTTGTCTGATACTGAAATATTTAAACTTTCATACAGTGCCTGGTACTTTAATCATTATATTTCACCTATCTTTAAACTTATAAACTGCCTTGTTTTTAAATACCTAGAAGATCTCTCTTTCTTTTATGGACAAATTAGATATTGTGATGAGACAAATGATTATAACTGCAGAAGTAGTGATTTATTATTAATGCTCACATACCTATTTTTCACATAATCTCCCTCTGCAGCTATGCACTTGACCCATCTTTCGATGAGTTTCTTATTCTTTCGGCTGACTCCGTAACCAATTTCGGATTTTTTCTTCATCTCGTCATTAAACTTCAGAACATCACAAACAACGTTGTGTACTGTAACCAACACTGGCATTCAAATCTGTCGCAATTTGTTCAATTGTAATGCATCAGTTGTCCTAAATTTTCTGCTCAATGTTCTGGTGCAATGTGGGTGTTGAATCTTCGATAGGTCGTCTGGCAGATTCTTCGTCCACAATGCTTGTTTGACCAATCATGAATTATTCAACCCACTTGTAAATGTTTCGCTCGACTGATGCAATTAGTTACCGGGTATATCCCTTCCGAATTTAAAAAACAAATAACAGATCATTGTTCTTCCAGAGTACAAAATTCAAGCGGAGCGCTCATCGTTAATGCAACACTTCTGGTGACTAATTGATAATCGAATGAATTGACTAAACAAACAGATGAAAATGTAGCTTATGCATGCCTAAACTATGTCATAACATGATACCTGCGGTTGTCCCTCCCCTTTGCCGTCTACATCAAAAAGTCTCGTTACTTATTGAATGATCCTCGTATATACACACTGTACAGGCATCTCTAATTTAGTAATCAGAATGCATTCCCAAAAACCCAATCACTAAGTGAAATGAACGCTAAAATTGGGGAAAATGAGAAATATTATCAGTGGACCTCAAATCTGATCCTGAATACTGTCATCAAGATTATCCTTAACTCCTACCCTACCTCACCTCAGGAACAGGTTATATGACCTGATTCCTTTGTTCTGTTAGTTGGCTGAAGAGGGTCCTAGTATACCAGCTTCAAGATTCATCTTTTATTTCTCCCTTGTGGGTTTTTTTACTCCATTTACCATTACTCTTTCAGAATATCATCTACATAATTATTATCAGTCCACCTTGCAATTTAAGTGTTACATTTATTTATTGCTGTATTATTTACTTTATTATTATTTTAAATCATTGAACCAAAATATCCCTAATTGAGCAATCATTAAATGAGAGATACCTGGACAGATCTTCCTACTTAAAAAGTACATTAAATACTGTACAGTACTCAAAATTTTATCCTTTAGAATGTTAACTCGCCATATCTAAACACTAGAATAGGAGTCATCTCTTCCCTCAGTATAATTACGTAACTTTGTCAATCATTACTTTAATATTTCACTTACTATTTAGTACTGTATTGTAATTTTTTACCAAGACATTCTTAACCAATGCTTAGCATCCGAAATCTGAATAATTATCCATCTCTCTTATTCCTAATCTGTGATCCAGTACTTTGTACAGATTTAAGAAAAGCAAATCCATCTCAACTATAAATATACAGTACTATACTATAACTAGCCCACTACTATAAAATTTAGTTTTTATTAGCAGAATACAGTATGCATAGACTCTCTCACTGCTGTCCAAAGACCAATTTTGAGAGAGGTACCTGTACATACGTACTGTAGTTGTCCTCTTAGAATTTGTCTTACAAGTTCAAAGCCCTACATTTTACCCAGTACTTGTGCTTGTATGCGTAATAATTTCTACTTTCCTTCCTTGTGAAGTACAGTACAGAATCTATCCTGTGGTTTCTCTCCTAGAATATAAATTTAAGTGATTTTTACTCACTGTTAGAAAAAAATATCTTTGCTTGGTACTCACACACACACACACAATGTGTCCCTTTTAGACATTTGTTGTATCCAATTTTCTAAATATTAATTAAAGGGTACAAAATCAAGCATGACCAAGAAAGGGTCACAACTGCAGTAGTGCTAAACTGCTTGTACAGTGTGTATTCTTGCACGGGATAAAAATTCTCTAAGGGTCAGTCAATTAGCAAGGAAAGGCAAAAGACCACCAAAAGGAGGTCACTTTCATTTGTTATTACCGTAATATATCTACAACCTCCAGAGTACTGTACTGTATTTATAAAGAAAACGGCTTGCTACAATTTCCTTAAATTTTAATACTGTATTATTCAACATGAGCTGGCCTAAAGATACCTTGGGGAATTTTTTTGTATTTTTGTACTACCTTTATAAAAAAGACATTTCAAACAAGATTTGTTTCTTCAGTTTATAGAAGACAAAGGTAAAAAAGTAACATTGTAGGTTTAGTAAAAAAAAAAAAAAAAGAGATTGACAATTTTCACAGATTGCTGGAATATATTTGGGCTATGTGTTTCTTAAGACTCAATAGGGTTCCATGGTAATTGAAACAGTTGTAGCAGTTTATTTAGCCAGAAAAATACAGATGCAGAGTGGATAATAATAACAATATTAACATGGCTGAGCCAGTTGAGAACCTGAGTAATATAAATGAAACATCACTGTGTTCACTTGGGAATGGTACTACTGCACTGTATTTATATCTTCCTTTCTTTCAGTAATCAACTGAAATAATTTTTTTTTTCTCTAATTACTGTACTGTATACTATTAATAAGTGTTTAATGTACTGGTACAGTACATCTATCTTGACAATGCATTTTTCACATACTGTACAGTACATAAATAAATAAATCATTTAGCTCCTGCATTATGATACTAAAAACTTTATGAAATTTTTTACTATTAATGTCATACACTAAGTAATTTTAAGCTATATCACTCCTCATATATTTACTATTAATATTCCTGCATGTCTTGAAACTGTTTTTGCAGTGTAAGCAATTTTAACGATAAGGTTTCTTGTTTACATGAAGATTATCATCTCTTAATATTCTTCATTCTCTCCGTTATGTTGCACGAGTGAATTGTGTCCCTCTTTATACTTACAGTATGAATGAGATCATGTTATTTATTAAAGTTTCCACAAACATTTATTATTCTAAGAAATAACTTGTAAATACCTGTAACTTACTACAGAGCAGTATACAGTATTTAATAAAGGCTCTTTTTTCATCACATTTTTATATAACCTGACCATTAATATGGCTCTTTGACCTAATAGCTCTTCCCTCCATTTGTCCTACCTTGCTAGGCAGTAAAATCTCAGTTGAGAATCACATGAATTCTCTTTAAAAAATAGAAGTACTAAATGGGTACTAGCTCTATTAGACCTCCTGCCTTTAGAGAGTAATTTGACATTTACAATTTGCCGGTCCTCCCCTCAGAAATTTTTCACCCCCAGTCTGAGCCTCCCTTTCCACCCAGCCATTCTGAGCGAGTGGGAACAGTTGATATATTTGTTTACACGTTACAAATTGTTTTTACTCCTATGTATTATATATCATCAGTTTCAGGAGTGTTGTCATTCAGATTTAACTGTTACTTAGTTCAAGATAAGGCCAGGCCAAGGTGCAAATATTACAGGGGAAATTACAACGGGATGAGGGAAGAGATGAGGGGTATCCACTGGCCTGACTCATTAAGGCACAAGAACGCAGACACTACGCTGAATATCATAACTAGTAAAGTGACCCATTTGATCAATAAATACATACCCAAGACCAAACCCAGTGCTCTAGGAATACGAGGGTATCCCTACACATGAACCATGCCGAGGTTGACAAAGTTAAGAAGAAAACCCAGAAATTCAAGTCGTGGGTTGGGTCAAATGATGAGCAGGACAGGAGGATGTATGCAAGAGCCAGAAACCAAGCAAAGATAGAATGTAGAAGGGCTGAAAAGGAGTTCCAGAGGCTGGTTGCAAGCGAGGTCAAGTCAAACCCAAAGGCGTTTTACCGTTATGCAAAGTCGAAATTAAAAACGCGAGTAGGAGTATCAGACCTGAGGCTTGAAGATGGTAGTTACGCAGATTCTGACCAGGATAAAGCTGAGGCATTGAACAGCTTCTTTTCCTCGGTGTTAACAAGAGAGGATGCGATGAACATTCCTGCGTTTGAGGACAGACGGTTCGACACAGCACTGACCCACATTGTGTTCACAAAAGAGGGTATTAGAAATAAACTGTCAAAGCTAAAGGTCCATAAGAGTCCCAGCCCTGACATGGTGCATCCTAGAGTGCTAAAAGAGTTGAGCAACGAGCTTGCCGAGCCCCTGAAGATCCTGTTTTGTAAATGCCTGGATGAACGTAAGGTCCCCAGTGAATGGAAAGTGGCTTATATGAGTCCTATCATCAAGAAGGGCGATCGTCACTCCACGAATAATTATAGACCGTTGAGCCTGACCAGCATAATATGTAAAGTACTTGAGAGTATTATCAGAGATGCCGCGATGGAACATCTACTACGAAACAACCTTGTAAAGGATTGCCAACACGGTTTTATGCCGGGGCACTCCTGCTTAACACAATTCCTCAAGGTATTGGATATTTGGACCCATATTCTGGAATGGGGTGGTAATATCACCAATATTTACTAAGATTTTGCCAAGGCTATCGACAGTGTACCCCACGAAAATGGCACGAAAATCATCTGTACCTGTCACAAGCGGGGCAGTGTATTGGGCCCGCTGTTGTTTGTTTGTTTAAAATATGACATGCCTGACGACGTACACTGCTCCATACAAATGTTTGCCGATGACGCCAAGTTATTTCGGGAAATCAAGAACCAAGCGGACTGTGAAGACCTGCAGAAGAACCTTTGTGGGCTCCAAGAATGGTTGAAGAAATGGCTGCTGAGATTCAATGTCACGAAGTGTAAGAGGATGCACCTGGGGCGTACCAACGGTAAGGAGACGCATCATATGTCCCAACGGGATGAAGAAACTCAGGGCCGGATTAAGCTTAAGAGGGGCCTGAGGCACAGATCAACTTGGGGCCCCCTACCCTCAAGGTTATATATATATACAGTGGGGTATGCTATAACAAAGGGTTTTACCTATAAAATTGAGAATGCTATAACGAACGAAACTCCTACAACAAACATTATTTAAAGATTTTTATTTATTTATTTATTTTTATTACAAGTATTAATGATATTCTTTATTTCAGGGGTTTAGATGCATATGTATGCACTTTTTTACAATTTTTACAATTTTATATTATATTTTTCAGTGTTAAGTGGTTGTATTTGGGGGCCTGGAACGGATTAATCCTATAACGAACGAATGCTATAATGAACAAGGTTCTAGAACCAATTAGATTCGTTATAGCATACCCCAAATATATATATATATACAGTATATATATATATATATATATATATATATATATATATATATATATATATATATATATATATATATATATATATATATATATATATATATATATATATATATATATATATATATATATATATCAAGAACAAAATATACTAAAATATATCAATGATTTCATCATTATTAAGCTTCTGCAAAATAACACAGTCAATGTTCATAAGAGACAGAAAATTGAGACGTTGCTAGGACATCGTTGAACGAAGTTCATGTTATATATGCTTCAACTTCGAGAATGTTTGGATTTGGGGGCCCCTTAGAGTCGGGGGGCCTGAGGCAAGTGCCTCAAGTGCCTCATGGTTAATCCAGCACTGAAGAAACTGCACTATTTGAGACAATGTGAGAAGGACCTAGGTGTGTATGTTGACAATGAGCTGAAGTTCTCGGGCCATTGCGAGAAGAAGGTAAATCAGGCAAATAAATTATTGGGTCTTATAAGAAGGTCGTTCAGATATCTAGACGGTCCGTCCCTCGTAACGATCTTCAAGAGTGAAGTGCTTCCCCATCTGGAGTACTGTCACCCCGTCTGGTCCTCGAGATATGCTAGGGACTGTCAGTTGGTTGAAAATATTCAAAGGTGGGCCACCAGACTGGTGCCTGCCCTTCGGCACCTCAGCTACCCTGAGAGATTGGATCGCCTGAACTTGCCTAGCTTATACTTCAGATGGGCAAGGGGGGACCTCGTTGAGGTGTATAAGCATCTCAAGGGTCACTACTCAGTCGAGTGTCCTTACTTCGAGCTGGCGGACGCTCACCCCACAAGGGGTCACAGCTCAAGATTGAAGAAGCCCCAAGACCAGAAAACTGTGAGGGCAAACTTTTTCGGAGTGAGAGTTGTGAGCTCTTGGAACAATCTACCAGAAAGTGTTGTGACGGCACCGAGTGTGAGCTCTTTCAAGACAAGACTTGACCAACACTGGAGCGGGTTCAGGTACATTCAGGAGCCGATGCATGCCCAGTACTCGCCAACAGTGCGTAACAGAGACGTGACCGATCGCCAAAGCGGCTAACGAGCTGATCTTTTGGTGAAGAGGATAAAAGAAATGGAAAAGTAATCAGAGACGTGACCTATCGCCCAAGCGGCTAACGAGCCGATCATTGGTGCAGAGGGTAAAAGAGAAAAGAAAATATGGGCATTTTTTGGAAATTAAATATGCATCCTGTACAACAAAAATTGAGGGAATACTGTTGAGTATACAGCTTTTTTGGTGATCTATATATGTAGCTTTTACCTACAGTATATTGCATTGCATTTTGTTCTGGCTAATACAGAAAATCTTTGAAAATTTTAAAATTTAATTTAATTTTTTTAAGTAATAACACAGATACAGTACAGAGTTTAGTAGAGAGAAATACCAAGATGTGGTCAAGTCACCTTCCCATGAGCAAGCTGAATGCAATTTCTTTTTCCATTTTTGTATGGACTAGTTTGAGCACAAAAATGTGTGTGTAGAATATGTAGGCATCTATGGAAATGGCATACAATAAAACTGAAGGCATACTGATCAGAATAAGTGAAATTATGTGAACTAAATGTTTTGCAACTTCTTTTCTCCATTGCTTTTGTGTATAGACGTATCCTTCGCAATACAAATGGGTTAGGTTCATTGAAAAGCATTATTAAATCAATATTTGTACAGTATATATATATATATATATATATATATATATATATATATATATATATATATATATATATATATATATATATATATATATATATATATATATATATGCTGATAACCACAAGGAAACGACAATATTTAGACATGTGTTGCTAGGGTCTTTTGTTCGACCGCCGAGTGGCGTCTGCGCAATCAAGGACTGTTCGGAGCTCCTTTGCCAATGTACGATAATAGAGCTTTTAAATTTCATACTAATAAATAAAACAAAGTACTATTCAAAAAGAATTTCATGTAACCAATATTATTTCGAATTACAATGTATTTTTGCAAACTATTAAACAATCCAGCAAAAGCGGATACAGTAAGATGTAGCTAACTTGTTCATTGTTGGAATCATATCTACAATTCTACACTGTGAAAGATGAGGGTGCAGACGTAAGATTAACGTCGGTGTCAGTTTTCTGTTAAGATATGTTTTATATTTGATTTAATTGAACCATCATAATTGTATGAGATATGTAATATATGATAAAAGGAATTATTGATATTCTTTAAAACATAATCTATAACATTTATACAACATGTTTTCCTGGATTCTGCACCATACCCAGCTGCTGCTGAAGCCGGACCTCTGAATATAGATCAGCTGTGACTTGTCGTTGGAACTCTGAACAGTGCTGTGATGTTTTGTTCGACGTAAACATTGTCAACCTAAATCTGTTTTGCGTACGAAATCATTAATTTAATATTTTTTATCCCTTTGTGGTTATTTAAAGGAAGCAAGACTTAAGAATACACCCAATGGTGAAAAGAGAAAACACCTACGAGACTCGCCTTCGTTGGAACGGCCTGGGATCCCTCCATCAGACATACAAGTGGTTACACATGACTCAAGATTTGCATGATCACCTCATCGTCTTGGAAGGCAGTGAATGTAGAAATAACAAGGCTCACGGAGAACTGTAATGCTAGTTATAAGTGCTTCTCCTTTATAGTTCTCAGTTACGTGCCTAGAATAGCTAAGCTTTATGTTGTTGATTTCACAGGCAAATTTGTTTGTTAAATCTTTATTGAATAACGCGTGTTGATTCTTCTGCTGTAAACCTAAATAATCTAACACCATTCTGCATCACTGACAGCTTACAGCATATTGTTTGATTTTCAACCTCAAAACTTTTTATCCGATTTTTGATTGATTTGAAAAACGCACCAAGTTTTGAGTTCAAGTTACGCTTGCAGTTATTGAAATAACATATCAGCCATATAAAGAAATCCACGATGATGTCCCTTAAGAAGATTACAAATCATATGTCCTCTTACTATGGGCCACTGGCTTCTTTGGCAACACCTGGTGGCGGTATTGCCGCAGTAGGAGCCATAGGACCAGGTATCTTGCGTTGTGCAAGCAGCGAAGGATCTCGAAATGATAACTTCAAGTCTGCTAAGTCCGATAAACCAGTCAAGCGGGTCGTTTTCATCTCCCAGTCATCGAATGTCTTCTCGAATCTGGCTTTTGAGGATTGGTTGTACAAAAATTGGTCTTTTGAAAAGAGGAATGTTCTGTTTCTTTGGCGGAATAACCCATGTGTGGTAATCGGCAAGCATCAGAATCCTTATGTGGAAGCTAATCTTAGGTATTTGGAGAGTGCTGGTGTTCCTGTAGCCAGGCGCAACAGCGGTGGAGGAACCGTCTACCATGATGAAGGCAACCTCAACTGTACATTCTTCACCAACAAGGCCAGGTAATAAGAGTTTTGAAGTATATAATCAATCAGTCGGTTAAAATCATATTTTATGATAATCTGACCTTCATTTCTTGTGCAAATTAGCGGGGTTTTTTTTGCAAAATATGAACATTTTCATTATTAAACATAATTTGCAAAGAAATAGAGGTCAGATTTGAGTGAAACACACACACGAAAGAAAAGCTATTCTCATACCAAAAGAACCAACCTGCCTAACCTAACTTATAAGGAGGAGGAGGAAATGAAGAGTGAGGAGTATTATAACCTCAGGTAAACATGGCGGGAACCTGCGGACAGACAATGGACGAATATTAACTGACCCAGTTTAGCGGACTGTACTAGTAATTATTAAGTTACAATAGTACTGAACAACTTACTGTACAGTACACTTAACCCAGCGATTTGCCGATTTCACATAATTGTCGCGCATCTCGCCGATTATCACAATGTAAGGGCCAAGGTTTCTTGATTTCCCATCTTCGGTTTGATAATTAAAATGTGGTCTCTAGTAAAACTCAACCTGACGGCAAAGCATTCTACTGTAAATCTGTCAAAAATTTGTGTAGTGTCACAGCATGTCTATAGCTACAAATAGCTGATTGGTTCCGTCTGAGCGTTTTACCTCCTAGACTGCGCGTATATAAGCTAGTATTTATAAACGACCTTTTATAATGAATATTTAAAATTTTCTAACATCTCTGAAGTGCTAATGCCTTGAAATGATTTGCATTTTGATAATCCATATATTTAACATTATTTTATATAATAACAGGTATGTTTACCAATTGTGAACACATTTAGTTTGAGTTTTCTATGAACCAATCAGCTATTAGTATAGAGAAGGAGCGTGGCCTACAGGCCAGGTTAGCGTGGAAAGAGTATAGTAGTTAGACTAATACCGGGTATTTTAAATACAATCATGTAGAGTGAAGTTGCGATTAAACAAACAGGCTCCGTTTGTCCACTATATTGACTAGAAATATGTACTAAACTAATAATATTGTGTTGCAAGATATGTATGTCAGTCAAGCTGTGGACTGAGAATTTTACACAAATGTGTAACATGTACGGATGTACAGTATACATTATATGATCAAATTATCAAAGAATTATAAATATAATAGTTGTCTTGAATAACACAATAAATATATCTCGTCAGTAAATTGGATACATTTATTAAAAATCTGTCTGCATAAGCCATAATTGACCCCTTCTGACTTTTATCAAATTATAGAACATGCAGTATACTAGATTTTGCAATATGACAGTGCCTCATGCCAGTAAATAGACCAGTATGATTTGTCTCATTACTTACAGACCTAAGTTGTTAAATGCGATTATTTGAGGCAGGGCCGGATTCAGGAGTGGGCAAGGTGGGCAGCTGCCCAGGGGCCTCCACATATTACAATATTTTATTTATTTGTTTATTCATTTGGATTATTTTTATTTTCATTCTTTAAAATTCATGTGTACAAATTCCCAACACACACACACACACACACACACAGTGTGTGTTGGGAATTTGTACACTATCAATAAATTATAGTTAATTAAAATTTTCTCAATGTTCTAATTTCCTAAATATAACTACATATGGCTTAAAAATTCTACATAGAAGTGTTCAAATTTCAAAATTTTCCCGGGGGCGCTTACAGCGCCTCCCGGAACTTCTAGATGTTTAGGCTCGCTTCACTCGCCACCCCACCCTCTTAGGTAGTTATGAGGGGGGCCTCCACAGAGAGGCTGCCCATGGGCCTCCACAGGTCTAAATCTGGCACTGATTTGAGGTGTTTCAAGCGCAAATATGGTTTGGCGTAGAAAAACAATGGGTATTATTTTACTTGTTGCCACTACACGAATCTCGGAAATTTTATAGTTGCAGTCAGTAGTTTTGACAATTCTATGACACTTTTCTTCAATTGTGGGCCAAAGAAGATATAATACTTCATGCACCCACAATTTTCACGATTGTCTGTCATGGTCTCCAAGTCGTTGGACTTCATATTTTCGTGGGCAGAATTAATGTAAATTTCACTTCAAATTTTTTAAACCCTTTCAAACTAGCATGCACATGTTGAAAGTTATCCAATCTTTTCACCTAACGACGACGATACAGCACTTATCTTACATTTTGCTGGAATGATTGCGTAAATATTAACTTCGTATGAGAAGTAGGCTTAGTATGTTTGGTTTGTGCTACCCAGAAACGTATACATCTTAGTTTGTATGGGCTTAAAAAAATGTATAATTTACATTATATATACATATATATATATATATATATATATATATATATATATATATATATATATATATATATATATATATATATATATATTGTGATCCTTATTACAATGTGAAACAAAATTAAAATGAGTCCGATCTGACCCTCTGTTAATGTTTGTAGTGTTCATAACATTATTTTTCTCTATTGATTAAACCTCGTAGGGAGCAAACCTAGGACAAGGCCGTAATTTTGTTCAAATGCAGTATTTCGCAGGACAAGAATAGTTTGGGCATATAAATCAGATTTTTTTAACATAACTTATAATTAGAGTGGTCTAAGGTAGGCATCACTTCAGCCTTAAAAATACAAAACTACGGAAGAACATGCCACTATTAGGTCTGTGTGTTAGTTTTGAAACCGAACTTTGGAGGAGCACAGAAGCCTATTTTATTTTTTGTTTTTATACTAATTTTTTAAATAGGACAAAAACTAGAGCGTGGTTTGGACCTTTGAGATGGTACCGGTACAGTTGCTAGGGGAACGGACGCCCAGTGGGCCAGGTAGCTGGTTGGTTACGCCTTAGTACACGTGATCAACGCCACGTGACCATCGCAACGTGATCTACACCATGTGTCTAGTGCTGAATTGCTGATATTCTTAACCTCTTCCCTTCGGGCCCGGGGACGCGTCTTTTAACCTTATGTGTACAGGCTCCTCTTTGTGCTGAATAAAATCGTCTGCCGTTAGCTAAATGCAATATTATAAGTGGCGTCCACGTAGTAAACGGGTTAGGAGAGATAGTTGATACAATATGTCTAGTAAGTAGTGTAGATTGATAAAATGTTCTTTGCGCGGTAAGGTTAGCAATGATCTTATGTCCGTATTTTCCCGGACATGTCCTCCATTTAGGTCTCGAAATCTTCGTCCGGAAGTAATTTTTAAAATTCTTTAAAAGTCCGGAATTTCAGCTTCCATCATTTTCTCCACGGAAAAAAAACATGAAACTGTAAAGACGAGAGAGAGAGAGGGGAGGTGGAAACCGTAGAGATCTCGTTCAGTTTTCGTCAGCTGATAAGTCACGTGTACGACTGTACGGTGTTGTCAACTTAGCTGCCAGCAATTTTTGGGTAGCATGTAGTGCCATGTACTGCTTTTCCTTGTTCTTCAGCCACGCGCATTATTAAATTTGTTTTGTATTTAGCGCTAGTAGCCATAAATGAAATGTTGAAAGTATACCATATTTTTCTTGTGGCTTTTTTTACACTGTAGCCTTTGTTTTTCTTGTCATGCATTTAAGGCATTTTAGCAATTTTCAACCATATCAAGTCACACACACAGTGGGGGAAGAAGACTGCAGCTAAGGGAATGAAGTTATTCAGCCTTAAGCAAAGGTAATTTTTTTAGTATTTTTAAGATTTCTTTACCATGAATGTTGTATATTAGCCTACATTAAAAACACAATGCAATACAGTACACCGATACTGGTATATATATTATATATATATATATATATATATATATATATATATATATAATGTTATGCAAATATGCAAAATTAATTGTCACGGCTGCTTCAAGGTTACATAGCGCCAAAGTGTGTGCCGGGGGGCAATATGTCTTCTGGAGCGTCCTCTTTTTTGAATGTTCAGATATGTCAACCCTAATGTAAGTGGGATACTTGGATAAAGTTAAGTAAAGTTGCAACGAATTACATATAAACTAATATGGATGCTGAAGTGCACTGTCAACTAAGTATTCCTGCAAAGTGCTTAGACGTTTACTTATACAGTATATTGTGCTAGCGTTGAGTCATCAAATCTGACCAGTCCTCAATGTTACATACTGTCTTGTGTACTATGTAATTGCTTTACTGTAAATAAATAGATAGATAGATATTGTCTTTATTATTAAACTACACTTCGCTTCAACCGTTATACAGTTTCGTGGACGAAGACTGTGTGGCTTATAGTTGTCGTAGGTACTGTACTTCCTGTTTGGATTGTTCTTGGGGTGAGGTATCAGGGCATGGCCCGCTGCCAGGCTTCACAGCCGGCAGATTTATGCAGAACCCAGTCATGTAAATACCATAAGAAGTAGGGGGTACGTTGAACCCTACAACTTGGTTGACCTTGAACACTCATATTTAGTACTAAAATTAGCTGCTCTGGTTTAGGCCTACAATCATTTACAGATGGTTTCCGGGGGAAAATAGCGTCACGAACAAAAATAAATCTTACTTGTGTTAATAATACCGAAAATTTGAAACTGAAAATATTTGAATTAAAAATTTAAAGTTAATATCGCAATAATTTTACATAGTACATAAAGAACACTGCTGTATAATAAGAATTTAAAGAAGGCTGAGCACATTGAGTTATAATTCCCATGAAAAGTACCTGATACATTTGTCAAGAAAATTATTACAACTCACTGAGTATCATCCTGATTACAAAAAAAAAAAAAAAAAATCGCGGTATTAACAATTGCAATATAACCTGTTACCACGATTTTACATATCTAAGACGCGGTTACAAACTAATTAGTATGGTAGAAGCACATGGCATCAAAGGTAAATATCCTAACATGGATTAGGGCATGGTTACAGGACAGGAAACAGCGAGTGAGCATTAACGGCACTAAATCCCATTGGAGCAACGTCACTAGTGGAGTTCCCCCAACCTCAGTACTTGGACCATTATTATTTATTATATACATAAACGACATAGATATCGGCAGAGACAGCAACATAAGTAAATTTGCTGATGACACT